CTAAAACTCGCTTAGCATGTAGGTCTTCAGCCCTAAACCCTAAACCCTAAACCCTAAAACTCGCTTAGCATGTAGGTCTTCAGCTGCCGGGGAACCTCGAGAGATCCCTTCTCACCAACAAGGCATCCTCCAATCGCAGTAAGTCTTCTTGATAAGGGTTTAGGGTTTAGGGTTTAGGGTTTAGGGATAAGGGACCTTCAATCAACCCTAAACCCTAAACCCTAAAGCCCTAAACCCTAGACCCCAAAGCGTCAGACCAACAAGCCCCGTTGAACAGTGTACAATCTCGGTAAACCGAGATCAACACTCAAGAAGGAACAGGGCTCGGGGGCCTAGCCTGTACCTAGAATTTTTTTAATTTCTGCCGTAGAACGAGTATAACTCCAAGTAGGGCACATGTAACACCCAAGCCCTGTAAGCCCTGAACCCTATAATCCCTTATAGGGCCTGAGCTCTAACCCCTAAACCTCATGAACCCTAAACTGCAAACCCTGGAACACCCCAAACACTATGTGATTCCCTAGAGTCCTAGAGCCCTTAAAAGCACCTGCGCCGAAACGTGGGTCCTGGGCGATGCGCTCGAAAAGACCGGCAGCTACACGCGACCGGCCGCTGCCGTCGCCCTCCAGAAACACCACCTGGCATCTACGCCAGGGTTTAGCGTGTACCTTAAGAACCCAAAACCCACGTTTTTGTAGGTTTAAAGGGACCCTACCAAAAAAGTAGGTTTGGGGTTCTTGAGGTAGGGTTCCGGTTTAGGGTTTAGGGTTTAGGGTTTAGGGTTTAGATCGCCTGAGCCCGACAAACCATGACGACGGTGACGACAACGGCGTCGACGATGATGAGGACGAGGACCAGTCTTGTTGTATCAAGTTTTCAAGGGTTTAGGGTTTAGGGTTTAGGGTTCAATGTGGGCTACAGTCAATAACAGTTAACAAGGCTGTACTGCGAAGAGAGACATAGCATTCCCTGTAAAGACCTGCCATTGCTACATTATGGGTTCATACTGCAGGAACATAAGAGACCGGTGTCCCTTGGCGTTTGCCAGCAATGTTTACAGAGGTCCATGTATACATGGGTCAAAAAGATGCAAATTACAGATTTTTGGAGGTTGGGGCCACACAAGGTTGAGGAGTCCGCATGTTTGAAGTCAGGCGGGTCAAGCAGCCGGGGCTGGAGGAGGGAATTCAACGTCTTTGAACCTTAAATCCACAAGCCCAAAGAAACACACCACCGGCCTAAACCTAATCCCTGCTCAACCCTAGCCTGCATCAGCCTCAACGCTAACCCACCCTAAACCCTACTTAAAGGATCATGGGACGTAGTAAGTAGGGTTATGATTAAGGTAACTATACTTAGATTTACTTGGAACCCCAACTAAGCGACTTATAACCTTACTTACTAAGCCCCATGATCCTCCAAGTAAACCCTCCTTGCAAATCACCCCAATCGTCAGGAGCTTCGAGCTCGATGACTCAAAGGCAGTCCTTACAAGAAGGCTCATGTGATAGTCCTACACCACAACTGGGTTGTGTTTAAATCCCCACCATCAACAAACTTCTGGCGGGAAACCGCAACTGAACAAACATGTAGTCCTACACCTCACTACTTGGGCTTGACTGCCGGTACTTGGGCTCCTTGATGCATAATTCACAGTCAGAAACCCTAAGCCTTAACCCCTAGTCCAGGGGCCTTAATAATTGGAATAGGGTTTTGGCGGCTCCTTAAAAAAAATCATGCTATAAAATACCCCAAACCCTATTCTAACCATTAAGGCCCCTACATTAAACCTGCAACCTGAACCAACCCAAAACCAGAAACCTGCAAAGCCTGAAGCCCTTGAGCCTATGCCGGTCCGATTAGCTTGGGTTTAGGATTTAGGGTTTACGGTTCAGGGTTGAGGGTCTTTAGGTGAGAGGGGAAAAGCTCGAACCTCTACATCCCTGAACCCTAGTCCCTAAACCCTCATATCCACATGGCCGCCTGTAGGTGGTAGCGTGTCCAATCAAGATCCTCCTTCAAGGAAGCCCACCTTGGCGCTTAGGGTTGAGGGTTCAGGGGTTTAGGGTTTAGGGTTTAGGGGCTTCGGGTTTAGGGTTCAGCGTGGTGCGGGATTCACAGAACAAGCCTTTTAGAACACGCTCTCAATCCACTGAAAGGCAGTCGTATAGTAATCCTGATGTAACCCGTTTCAACAGCCCCACAGTCACCTGCATGGAAACCGTAAACTCATCCCCTAAGGCTCCATGTACCCATATAGCAGATACTTAAGCCTTAAAGTACCTATATAGAGACCCCTTTAAGGCCTAAGTATCTACTATAAAGGTACATGGAGCCCCTAAACCCTAAACCCTAAGCCATCAAGCACAAGACGCCTCTGCTGGTATCTCGCCTCCAGGAGCTGTTGCGGCGTCTCCGGCAGCTGCTTCTCTGGCAGGGATAGGCCGACCTCTTTAGGGTTAGGGGTTTAGGGTTT